AGAAAGGCGCGTTCAAAGGATGTTGATCATCTATATCAATTAGTGGTTCAAAAGTCGCTGGTAAGATATCCTCTCTTACCAGATTCTTCTGAAGAGCAATATGTTCTGGTGAGTTGCAATCAGTAAACAATCCAGTCCCTGGTGGTTGGGCTCTTGATGACATCGATTTAATCGTCTTCCAAATTTTAGTCATATTCTCGGAAAAGTCTAGCTTACTGCAAAATTCGCGATATGATTTAGTTTTAATTTGTTTAAGTTCCCTTTTAACTTTATTACTTATACATTTAAATTTCCTTAATTCTTCTCTAGTTTGGTTTTTGAGATACATTTGTAATGCTTTCCTTCTCAGTTCTATCAGTCGGATGCAGTCTTGGTTCCACCATAACGGTTGTGTTTTCCTTTTTCCTTTGATTTGTCCTGGATGATGAGCACCACAGTCCATCAGAGATTTTTGCACCATATTTATTGTATCTTGATATAGTTTAACCGGGGATTGATCTATTATATCCGATTCTATAGAGTTAATCTCTATATCAATCTTTTCTCGAAAGGTTGTCCAATCAACATTGCTTGTGTTCAATCTATGAGATTTTGATGCATTCATAGCTGGCTTGGTGAAGATTTTGACTATTACAGGAATGTGATCAGACTGATATGAATCTTGTCCCATATTAAACATGGAGACAGGTACAAGAGATGGAGAGCATAGAATCAGATCCAAATTACTTCCTACTTCTCCCAGACGTGGAATATAGGTTTCCATATAGTCATTCAGTGGTATAAAATTACATTCTTCCATAGCTAACGTAAGCTTATTTCCTCTGTTGTTTGTGGAATAAGATCCCCAGAAGGGAGAGTGTGCATTGAAGTCTCCACAAACGATTCTGTGTCCATTTGGACTAGTTGGACTAAGTAATTTCACCCATGTTTCCACTTCTGGATCTGAATTATGTGGAGCGTAAATGACTATAATCTCTATTGGTCCGATCGACGTGTGTATGATTAGTCCAAAATAGTCTGATGGGTACATGTCGTTAGACTCATCCATTGTTAGCTTAAGTTCCAACGGAGATGTTCTCAAGTTTGAATTTGCCAGGATGGCAACACCACCTCCTCTTCCCTGAGTTCTGTCCTTCCTATGGATATGAAAATTATGTAGATTAAATCTTTGTGTAGGTTCCAGCCATGTCTCAGTGAGACATATTATATCAGGTTGAAATTGATGAATGATCAACTCTAATTCTGTTTTTTTCGAAAGGATGCTTCTTGCATTCCAATTAATAATTTTGAGATTATCTTTTTGCATAGTAAGAGTAAAGTAAAACAAACTCCCACCTTATTGCTAGATTAACCTATAAATATATACATTAAGGCTCATCTTTCAAATATTTAATTTGAGCCTTTTATTCAATATTCACTATTAACATTCTAATTAAAGTCGGCCTGCTTAATTAATTTCGGGCAAAATTTGACTTAGATTCTTTATTAAAGTAATGATCAAATGAAGTATAAAAATATAAAAAACAAACAAAAAAACAAAAGCAAAATAAAATTCAAAATTCCTCTTCTTTCCCTTATTTAATGAATATTGAGTATTATTTCTATCAATGATTCGAGAGAAGTATAGATTTAATTTCATAATTTTAATTTTATAACAAAGGATAAATTTGAAATTTATTAATTCCTTCATCCTGTAGTTAATTTACAGATCGGCCTGCTTAATTAATTCGAGCCAACTTTGACCTGTATCTTGCTAAATTATATTTATTAAAGGGAACTCTGTCTTAAACGTTTAACTACTTTAATTGGATTTTTAGGGGAACTGGTTACAACTTTCCCGGAGTCCTGCATGAGGGATTGTAATTGTTCATAATCAAGGTGTTTAATTTTATTCTTGTTCAAATAATCAAATCTTTCCATTTGCGAGAAATTCCTATCACTATTGACCGAGTCAGGATCATCTATTTCCATTCCGACTCTAGCTTGAGTTGAGTTGTCAGCTTCAGAGACTTCATTGTTCGTGATGCTATTAACTGCCGCAGCAGTTTGTTTGAAATATAATTCCATATCTACATTGGGATTATTTTTTTGTATAATGGTTCTATTGCTGGATTCACTCATTTCATTGAGTTCAGGGTCCGAATATTCAGAAAGTTCCGAAGCGTTGTCAATAAGAGCAGTTTCATCTGTTTCTTTTGGTGGTTCCTGCAATTTGTATGGGAAATCATTGTTATCCTGATGAATACCATCCTTATCTGGTTCCTCTCTAAGATTTGTAGATTTTCTAGTTCCTTTGTCCAATTTATTATAATCTCTGTAGGATGGAGATGTAGATGTAGATGGGCCTGCAGTTTGGCGAGTATTTACATTAGGCGGTCCTCTTTGTCTCTCATTGCGTCTCTCACTTTGCCTAAGTTCAGCCTCTCTGTAACCACAGTCGTACTTTACTCTGATCTCTCGTATTTCCATCTCTTTGATGTAAACTGGACAGGAAGAAGATGAAGCCGGATGTCTTCCCAAACAGTTTCTGCATTTTGTTTGTAGTTTATTCTTGCAGTCTTTTTTTTCGTGACAATCGGAACACATCTCGCATGTTGGAAAGGAGGACCGACATTGTGACATTGTATGTCGGTATCTTTGGCAGAAGAAACATCTTATGGGTTTAGGAGTTATAGGGTAAACTTCCGAATCGAAAGAATTAATTAGAATGCTTCTGGGTAACTCCTGTCCCGAGAAAGTAATTTCCACAGTGTCCAGAATCAATTTTTCATAATTGACTCTTCGCTTTATATTAATGATGTTTGTTAGATTTTCAGGAGATATTCTATTAACTAAACCTGAAATTGGAATTGTAGGATCAATATCTTTAATAACACCGCGTTTCGTGAGTCTCGAGTTCGGTATATACATCCTAAATCTCGCAGCCATAAGTGCCTTTGATTGGATTAGTTGATTAGCATCTTTTATATTTTCGCAAATTATTTTCATTTGATTTTGACCACTCCTTTGTATGAGGCGTTCGCCTTGGATTTCTCCATCAATTTTATCCGCAATAGCTATTGGGTTCAATTTGCCTACATTATTCTCCAATATGCGACTCTCCATGAGAACAATGTATGGAGGCTGATCATTTGGTCTATATTGTGTTTCTATTCGAATACCAGGGTTGTTCCAATTAAGGAATTTCTCATCATGCACAGCCGTGTTCAAGATAGGTGGTTCATAATCCAATCTGATCATCTCCATTTCTCCTGTCACACAGTCGATTTTATTCGAGTCCAGCCCCATGATAAGTGGGATATCAGAAGTCAATATAGATAACGATGCTGAGTCCGATTGAGTGTACTTATCTGTATTCGGATTGGTATGGTTCGTTGATAATTCTCCCAAAAAACGAGTTATTTTCCATTGTTGAAATTCATCATAATTATTATTCGTGCTTAGAGATTCATTAGTAGTGATGATATCATCATTATCCTGAGACATTGCATTCTATGAACATATATAAAAACAAAACATATTCCAGAATTCGTATTTCAGAATTAATTGTGTGTTGATCAAAAATCTAATAATGGAAATATTTCAATATACTAGTTTAATTTGGATACAAAAGTTCACACACTAAGGAATCACAACTACCGTCTCAATTTAATAAAGCAATAGTATAAGTTGGAAAATAACAAAATTTCGTGCAAATATAGAAACATACACTACTCCAAAATCAAATCAATGTACATCTCGTTTCTAAAAATTTCTCAATTTTAACTAATATAAAATTAACTGAATCAGAAAATCATATTTATTATTAAATTGTAAATCGATCAAGAATCTGATCGAGAAGCGCTTCATTATATTATATCAATTCAGTTTAAATACAAAAATTCGCACACTAAGCAAATGTAAACACACCAACGAATCAATAGGACTATAGTATGTTTTAATAAAGTATATCGAAATTTCGTGCAAATATAATATCATAACGTATACAGCTCCAAAATCAAATCACGAGATACATTTCTCAAAACATCCAAGATGTTCAATTCAACTATTCAAACATTTAATTATTTAAATATTCAACACAGCAAATGCAAACTTAACCAAATCAACCATCGAAGGTCAATCTAAAGCTAAGTTATCTCTCAATTAAGCCAATTCAAGAATAAAATTGTTTCTAGTTCTTTAATTGAAACAAATAAGTGTAGCCGAGAGAAATAATAAAAATTATATAATTAATTAACACAAATATCAAAAAGGCGGGAGTCCTTAGATTTACTGTATAAGCGAAAAATACAGCATTGTCGATTAGGTATGCATATATTCGACAATAATAAGATATCAGTAACTCAAAACAAAAGTATCAAAACAAATTCAACTTACCGTTTACAGAGAAGCAAAATATATAAAATATTAGTTAAGCGAGCTATACAAGCAGGAAGATACTTCGGTATTAGAGAAGAAAAATGTTATATGTATATCCCATATCATACATTATTTAAATCAAATTGCATTCAATTATAATATATTCAAAGGATAGGTTATTTGGAGAAAAGATCGATTTAAAATAAACTTGATTTATACTTAAGGTATAGGATACATCATAACTCAAGCTGAATAGTCATGTAGTATTGTTTCAAGCATGCCAAATTTAATAAATCCTCAAAGTCCAATCCGGTTATTGCATTCCTTAATAAGCAGCCAGCATTTTGTAGTCCTTTTAAAGTTGAAAGGTGTAATCATCACAAGCTTTAAAAACCGGCATGTCTGCCGGCATGCATAAATCACAATTAAGCATTTACAGCAAAATGCAAACCAAACCAAACCTCAAATTATAAGCAGATAATATATATTAATTATTGTTTTGTTAATTGAAACGAATAATTAGGTGTTTATTAATTCAAATATTAATTTTAATTTGTATCAGAAAATAGTATCAAAAGTTTAACGTGTATTAAACACGTCTTTATTCTGTAACAGATCAAGCGAAACTCCAGTGATACAATTTCAAAAAACATAAAATATACAATAGTAAAGTCTATGACACAACACAAACTGTAGAAGAAAAAATATATAAAGATTGATTCACAGTGACAGAAATTCCTTCAAATAATATGAAGGTTATTTCATAGATGTATAGGTATGCACCGGAATTATTGTCCTTTAGTGTTTTTAGACTTAAAATTGATTTTTAAAAAAGGTTTTATTGAGACAAATTGGTACCAAAAACCATATTCCTCGGGTAGATATTTAAATTTTTGGTCCAACCATCATATTAATATTAAAAAGGGAATCATATTTTCTTTGGTGGATAAAACTATTTTACTATCTGAACCACATTTCCATGCTGAAAATTTAAATTTTATTTTTGAAAAATTAAAACAAAACAACTACCCTTATAATTTCATAAAAAAGAATATCGATCAAAGAATACAATTTTTGACTTTGAAAAATAATAATAATAACGTTATAAATTTTGACAGAAAATTGATCGAACCTTCACGCACTATAGTAATTCCATATGTGCCTGATATTCTCAAACCAACCATAAACCTATGTAAAAAATTAAATATCTCAATAGTCTTTTCAACCCTTATGAAACTTCATAACAATTTACTTCCATCCCCTAAGGACAGAATTCCAAAATTCGAGAAGACCAACGTTATATATAAATTAAGTTGTAATGATTGTAACGGCATATATATTGGCCAGACAATACAAGAACTAAGAAAAAGAGTTTCTGCTCATAAACATTCACAACTACGCAAAAAGACCAACACAGCGTTATGTAAACACTCTACGAATTTAAAACATACATTTTGCTTCGACCAAAACAGCGTTAAAATCTTAGATGTCGAAGGTTCTTATAGAAACAGAAACTTTTTAGAAATGTATTACATCGCAAAGGACTCAAATTCCGTAAATTTCCGAACTGATATTGACAATCTATCAATAATGTATTTTGATATTATTGGAACATGTGATAGAATTTCGAACACTAAAGGACAATAATTCCGGTGCATACCTATACATCTATGAAATAACCTTCATATTATTTGAAGGAATTTCTGTCACTGTGAATCAATCTTTATATATTTTTTCTTCTACAGTTTGTGTTGTGTCATAGACTTTACTATTGTATATTTTATGTTTTTTGAAATTGTATCACTGTCCTTTGTAATGATGAGCACATGTGTTATTTATTTTGTTTATTATTTTTATGTTTATTTATCAATTTGGAATGTTCTGTTGGATTTTTATTTGTTATAAAATGAAGGAAGTCTCGATGGTTCTTGTTCAAACAAGAATCCAGTAAATCCGAACAAATTTTATTCCATTTTTTGACAGGTCTCGATTTTGAGGTTATGTTGGCCTTTAAAAACTTTTCGAATTTAAATTTTTTAAAAGTTTTATAAATTTGTATCATTGAACAATGTGGTAGGTCTATTCCACACACAATGTTGCTATTGATTTCATATTTTCTATTTACTCAACTTTTTTATATTTTTTCTGTAGTCCTGATGAGCTGTGTTCACAGTGAAAATGCATTCGATGAAATAAAGTAATAATTGCTGATTTTTAACAACTTTCTCAAATCTTTTGGACCCAAGGCCACAATATAAACAATTTTATTTGACAAAAATTAAGGTCCTGAAAACACTCTACGTTCAAAAATTTTAATAAAATTCTTGGCAAAATATTAATTATTTTCAAAAAAAGTTCCTCAATTCAATGATTTTTAATATCTACTATTTAAATACAATTTTTTAAAAGGTATTCAATTATTTAAATATTTATTGTTAAAATTCTTTATGAGAATTCTAATTTAACAAACAAGCAATTATTCAATAAACAGTGTTTTTTGTATATGAATAATTGAAAACTAGTATAATTTTCTAATAAAAATAGATTTTATTTTGAAAAGTTTTCAAATTAAAATTTCTTATATTTTTAACTAACAATTCTGTGTAATTAATTTTTGAGAAAGTTTAATTGTGCATTTTTTTAAAAATTATTTGAAGTTTTCATTTTTTAATATGGGTGATTCTACAAAAGATGGAATTTTGATGTCTGAAGCATGTTTTGTATATTAATTTTGGAAAGAATAATTTTACTTTTAATGGAAATTGTAAATCTTAATGGTTTCTATTATGGCACAGAAAAAAAACCGATGAAAAAAAATATTTTTTTGCAAAAAATACACATTATAGTGCTAAATTCTCATTCGTCTGGCATGTCCCTTTGGGAGAATGACAGTTCATATTGAGAATAAATATCACTTTTCAAATGTTTTGCGGAAATTTCATACTGAATTAGTAATTTTGAATAGTTGTAGATTACTAATATATATTTAACTGAAGAATTTACGAATAATTGAAATTTTGTAAAATTGAATTGTAAACAAATGAATTTGAAAACTCTCACAGATCTTTTTCAAAAATTATTTAAAATAATGCATTTATAGAAGAATTTTAATTAAAAACACAAAAAAATTTAATCTTGGAGAAGTTGCAAATTATTTTCAAGAGTGATATAATATTCTTCGCAAAAATTAACAAAATTTTTCTTAGAAATTCTATTATTTTCACAAATAATAAAACTTATCGCAGAATTTCAATTGTTTTTAATACAATTTTATTCTTTCGAAAAAATTAATTATTCTTAACAATGTTTATTAAAATTCGTCGAAAAAATTCAAATATTTAAAAGTTTGTTGACAAAATTCTTTATTGAAATTAAATTTTAAGAAATATTCAATTTATCCAATAAATTGTTGTTCTATCACTAGAACAATCCTGGTGAGTCAAAACACGCCAAGTGAGCACCCCTTTAGACATTTTTTCATCAAATTTAATGAAATTTGGTATAAACATTGTACTAATAGAGTAGATGAAATTTGCCAAATTTCTTTAATTAATAATAACGGGTTGCCTAGTTACAGGGTGTCAAAGTTTAACATTTTCATCGAAACGCAAGATTTCAAAAATTTCTATCTCCTATACTATTGACCGTACGAAAAAATTGTTTATATGTTTTTTGTAGTATTTTTATCAAACTTTTCAAAAAAAATAATTTCACTTAAAAATTTTTTTTTTTTTGAAAAATTGTATTATTTTTTTTAAACTATTAACATTTTTTATGCTTTATCCACGCGAAAATTGTTTCTTTTTTACATAAATAAATACGTTGGAATCATAGGTTTAAGAATATGAAAAAAAATTCCACTGCCCGACATTTGTTCAATAGCAAACATATATTGTTTATTGCTCGCCTCGCTCCCGTGACGAGCTCCTCCCGGTACTGCGCGAGACAATAACAACCAAATTATTACATTAAGCTTTATATTGCATTAGTTTCCAATTTGTGGATAAGATCATGCATTCGTGGGTATATTTTAAGGTTTTTATTGACTTAATGGTGTTTTATATGGTGTTTTAAAAAATTTTTTTTCCGTGAAAACATGCAATAATTTGTATGATATCACTGAGACTTGTAAAAACTTGTTAGTTGCATTGTTGTAACTTAAATCTTACGCGCAGTTTTACTTAATGTTTTATGCTATTAATTGTATGTTTCATTTAAATTATAACCTGTTTTACGATTTTACAGAGTTAATTTGATTTAGTGCAGTTTTATTGTGTATTATGCTTTTATATCAAAAATGAATAATCGAAACAGTGCTGCAGCCCGCTAAATAAAAAAAGCATAATTGTGTAAGAAAGAATTTAGTTTTTGTTACAAACATGTTTGTTACATAAGAATTTTTTTTAAATTTTTGCAAATAATTCAATTCATTTAAGAAATTTAATTATAAATATATTGAGAATAATTGTTAAATTGTAATAATAAATGTTATTAAAACTTTTTTATAATATTTGAATTTTTCAAAGATTTTTTAAAAAATTTTTAAAAATAATTGCAATTTTCAAGAAATTTATTTAAAATTGTATTAAAAATAATTGAAATCCTGCCTTGAATTTTATTATTCATGAAAACAATTGAATTCTTTTAACAAATTTTATTAAAATTTTTAAAAATAATTAAATTCCTGATAAAAATTTTGTTTTTTTGAAAATAATTGAATTTCGGCGAAGAATTTTGAAAAACAATTTTTAAATAATTTAATTCTTACTAAGGATTTTCTTTTTTATGGAAATAATTAAATTCTTACCTAGAATTTGGTTATTTAAAAAAAATTAAATTATTTTCAAGAACTTTATTTTATAGTTTTCATTTAATTTCTGCGATGCATTTTATGAAATATTTGAAAATAATTTAATTTCTGCTAAAAATTATGTTATTTTTGAAAATAATTAAAATCATGCCTTGAGTTTTATTGTTTATGAAAATGATTGAATTCTTTTATCAAATTTTGTTAAAATTTTTAAACAATTGAATTTCTGATAAAAGTTTTATTATTCAATAAATATAATTGAATTCTTGTAAAGAATTTTATTAAATTTTTTTTAAGTAATTGAATTCTTTCGTGAAATTTCATCAAAATAGTAGATATTGAAAATAATTAAATTTAACCAAAGATTTTCATTATTTGAGATAATAATTGAATTCTTACGAAAACTTTTCTTAAAATTTTTGAAAATAATTGAATAGTTTCAAATCATTAAATTATTTTTATAATTATTAAAATTCATCGCAGAATTTCAATTATTTTTAGTACAATTTTAAATCAATTACGCTAAAAATGCAATTATTCTGAAAATTCTTTCTTACACAATTATGCTTTTTTTATTTAGCGGGCTGCAGCACTGTTTCGATTATTCATTTTTGATATAAAAGCATAATACACAATAAAACTGCACTAAATCAAATTAACTCCGTAAAATCGTAAAACACGTTTTAATTTAAATGAAACATACAAGTAATAGCATAAAACATTAAGTAAAACTGCGCGTAAGATTTAAGTTACAACAATGCAACTAACAAGTTTTTACAAGTCTCAGTGATATCATACAAATTATTGCATGTTTTCACGGAAACAAAATTTTTTAAAACACCATATAAAACACCATTAAGTCAATAAAAACCTTAAAATATACCCACGAATGCATGATCTTATCCACAAATTGGAAACTAATGCAATATAAAGCTTAATGTAATAATTTGGTTGTTATTGTCTCGCGCAGTACCGGGAGGAGCTCGTCACGGGAGCGAGGCGAGCAATAAACAATATATGTTTGCTATTGAACAAATGTCGGGCAGTGGAATTTTTTTTCATATTCTTAAACCTATGATTCCAACGTATTTATTTATGTAAAAAAGAAACAATTTTCGCGTGGATAAAGCATAAAAAATGTTAATAGTTTAAAAAAAATAATACAATTTTTCAAAAAAAAAAAAATTTTTAAGTGAAATTATTTTTTTTGAAAAGTTTGATAAAAATACTACAAAAAACATATAAACAATTTTTTCGTACGGTCAATAGTATAGGAGATAGAAATTTTTGAAATCCTGCGTTTTGATGAAAATGTTAAACTTTGACACCCTGTAACTAGGCAACCCGTTATTATTAATTAATGAAATTTGGCAAATTTTATCTACTCTATTAGTACAATGTTTATACCAAGTGTCATTAAATTTGATGAAAAAATGTCTAAAGGGGTGCTCACTTGGCGTGTTTTGACTCTGGTAAGAAGTTTAATTTTTATTTTTTTTTAAACTCAGTTATTTTCCAAGTTTTCATTTAGAATTCTACAAAAATACGATCATATAATTTCAAAATATCTTTTAAAAGTAAAGAAATAAAGACATTCAATTATTCAATAAATTGTTTTTTTATCACTAGAACAATCCTGGTAAGAAGTTTAATTATTAATTTTTTTAAAACACAGTTATTTTTCACATTTTCAATTAGAATTCTTCAAAAATACGATCAGATAATTTCAAAATAATTTTTAAAAGTAAATAAATAAAAAATTCAATTATTCAATAAATTGTTGTTCTATCACTAGAATTACATTTTTTAAAGAAATAAAGTTTTTCGAAGTTTCTAAATTAAATTTTTCAAAACCTTAATAGTTTTTTTATACAAAAATTTGAAAACTTTTTTTATACATATTCTTTTTTTTTACAGGAATTAAGATTTCAAATAATTTCTCTGAAAAATCTTTTAAAATTTAATAATTTATAAAAATTTTAACCGTAATAATTTTCTTAGAATTTTCGAATAAAATTATTTAAAATTTTAAAAAATTTGAAAGAAAAATAATGTAATTAATAATTTTTTTTTATTTTCAAAAGTACAATTATATTTATATATAATTTTTAAAACTAAAAAAGTAAAATACTTTAACATTTATTTTTTATTTAATAAAAATTTTTTTTTTAATATTTATTTGCCCTTGCATCCTCGAATTGGATTTGTGGTTGAGCTGTTCCCTTTACCTGTTAAAAAAAATATTTGTTCATTAAAATAAATAAATAAATCAATATTTTTGCAATTCTAAAAACGACAGAAGAAAATAAAGTGAATTTTGATAAGATAAATTTCTTTGAGAAAAATTATCTCATGTATTTTTAGTTTAAGTTAATTTTAAAAAAATAATTTCAAAATCAAATAATTTTGAGTGACTTAATCAAAATTAATTAGTTTTAAGTTTTATAATATCCATTAAAAGT